TCTCTCTCCCTCTCTCTATATATATATATATATATATATATATATATTTGATACTTATGATTTTTTTTTAATTTTTACAGCTATTTGATGGTTAAGATAGGAAATATTTCCTCTAGTTGTTATTATAAAACCTAAAATTTTGAATTGATTTGGTATTTTTTTTTATAAGACTCAATCCATTATTTCTAAAACATTAATTTTGACTTTACAAAATTATCATTATTAAATGCATTTTTAAATTCAATAAATAAATTAAATTCATTTAATGTATGTCTCTTAAAATATAAGTAATCTCCTATTTTTGTTCTTAGAATGCAAAAATTTGAAAACATATAACGTCTAATTAATTTAGGGACAGTTTTGGAAAGAAGAAGTAAAATTTTAAAGCATATTTATTAATCATAACCAAAAAACCTAAATTTTTGTAATCTTGATAAATTTATCATTTGGGTCTTATAATAAAGATTGAGAGGAATATAAAAGTTGGGTTAATTATATGATAAAGGGTATTTGACAATGGTGACAATAATCTACTAATAGTAATAGTAAAGGTGCTAGTAATAAATGTAATGATGGTGGTGACAAAATTTTTAATAATAATAGTAACAATGATAATAATAGAAATAACTATGATGATAGAAGTATGTGATAATTTTATTTGTAAATTTTTAATCTAAATTATTTGTTTTAATTTAAATGTTAAATTGAACATTTTTATTCTCATATAAAATGACATTTTCACATTATACACTCCCTATCAGCATAGTTCTAAAATTAGTACACAAATAATTATTTCTTAAATTTATTTTTGAACCTTTGCACAACTAAGAATAGATTTTAAATTTTAAAATGCAAGTAAACAAAAATTGCCTTTATCATTTCAAAATAATTGTCGCGTAAAATTTTTGTACAATAATCGAGGGAATATTTAAATACTCTTAATTATAACAAAATACAATTACCTTTGATTAATTACACTTTATTAATCTATTTTCATAGGTATTAAAAAATAAACAATAATGATAATAATAAGTTTGACGCCTCCTAAAATTTTTAAATAATGGATAACTAAATTAAATATTACTTATGATAAACTCCATGGTATATATAAGAACAAAACACTTTTAATGTTTTATATTATTATTATTATTATAAAAAAAAGAATAGGAAAAAAAAAAAAAAAAGGTGAAGGAAGGTGAGGAGAATTGTGAAAGAGAGATCTGAGAGTTAGAAAGAAAATGGGTTTGCAGAATGGCGACTTAGAGAAGGAGGAGGAGGAGGTAACGGAAGCAACATCAGGGGAGAAGGCGTTTGAGGGGAAGGCGGTGCCACGATGGGAGAAACAAATAACTGTGAGAGCAATGGTAGTGAGTCTAGTGTTGGCAGTGTTGTTCACGTTCATCGTCATGAAGCTCAATTTAACGACGGGAATTATTCCCTCGCTAAACATATCAGCAGGCTTGTTAGGGTTCTTTTTCGTCAAGATGTGGACAAAATTGGTCGCTAAAGCTGGAATCATAACGCAACCATTTACTCGTCAGGAGAACACAGTTATTCAGACATGTGTTGTCTCAGCCAGTGGCATTGCCTTCAGCGGTAATTTCATTTCTTTCTCTCTTGCATCCATCCTACCTATTCAATCAAATTCTCTTTTTCAGTTTTCTTTTATTCAATGAGACATTCAAGGTCGCTACCTAGTTTGGAAATCTTCAAAACGGGAAATGAAAAATGCAAGTCACGTTCATATATTCGTGAAACCGTTACGTACGTGATAGATCTCATCAAGATCTTCTTCTAGCATCATAAAAGCTTGGTGCAAGTATTTTAGGCCTTGTTTTAACTCAAACTAATTAGGGTTTTATTTTACTAATTAGTGTTAAACTTTGATGTTGGCCTTTATTAATTTGATCGTTTAGTAAAAGTGAAATTTTAAGTTTGATCGGAAAAAGTCTCAAACAACACGTAGAATTTTTTTTTTTTTTTTATTTAATGTATTTTTTTTTTTTTTATTTAATGTATTTTTTTTTTTTTTATTTAATGTATTTTTTTTTTTTTTATTTAATGTATTTTTTTTTTTTTTATTTAATGTATTTTTTTTTTTTTTATTTAATGTATTTTTTTTTTTTTTATTTAATGTATTTTTTTTTTTTTTATTTAATGTATTTTTTTTTTTTTTTTAAATTAATGTATGTATTTTTTGTTAATATAGTTTTTTATATTAAAATTAGTTTAATTTGTGGGTTACTGGATTTTAGGATGGCGGTTGCATGCATCTTGTGAATATCAAGGGCAATGATATTCATTCACGCTCATTTTGGAGTGAATTGAGGTGAAAATAGAAATAATAAGGTAATGTGATGCAGAAGTGAGATGAAAGAAAAGAGTGAATCTATGATGAGAAATATTTAATGAGAAAATTAATATGGACGTCTTGATATATAAATATCTCGTTATCATTCTATTTTTATAATATATTTCTTATATTATATCATGTTGTATTACTTTGTTTAGTTTGTTATATTTTTATTTTTACTTCTATTTCTTCTCTCCTTTTATTTTTCTTTTTCTAAATATATATTAGCAAGTCAGTGTTTGTAAATCATTTTTCATGTTGGAATTGTTGTCACATTTTATTTTTAATTTAATAATTATTTTTTATATTATGTTGTATGTGTTGTGTTGTGCTGCCTGGGGTCAGAAAAATCTACCTCTTGACCTTTTCGAAAAGTGGAAAGTGGAAAGGACAAACACCTCTTTCATCTTATATTATATTATATGCCTTGCGTACGTGCTTCTTTAAGTATTTTAATTTATTTTAAAAATAATTAAAATACAATCTTCAATTAAAATATAAATATTTTTTTATATTTTCATTGAATCATGAATAATTATGTATTAAACTTATTGACTTTTATAATAATCATTTTAAACGTTATATATGAAATTATTTCTATTTATTTGATAGTGTAAAAGTCTTTATATTTTGTACATAGAAATTAAATTCTTATTTTAAACTATAATCATTTTTAAAAAAATATTTTATTTAGTTATTACTATCTCACTTAAATACTGAAATAAATTTATAATTATATTTTAACTTTTTCTAATGGGAGGAAAAGTATTTTATATTCGGACGACAGACATTATTCCAATCTAATTCAGAAATAATAATATGCATGTTTAAAATATAAAATACGGAGTATTTTATAAGGACGGTCCAGTACTTCACCTTTGATAAACTTGGCCATATATGCGTATTGAGATTTTTCATGTCTCACTTTCCATGATATTAAAGTAGAAATAACTAAATTGAGATGCGTAAAACAAGAGAGAATTCAAGTTTTCAAATTACTTTTCTGTCATGTTAATTTATAATTAAATCTTCCCTTATATATATATGTTGACTAATAAAATTTGACCTGCTACAACTCCATGCCCTTTCAAGATTATGAAATGATAATCACAAACGTGACATCTTCATTGAGATGAATTGGAAGTATATCTAATTTGGAGAATAAAATTGTAATTCTAACCAAAGAATAATAATATTAACTGTACCTAAAGAAGAACTGCGTTGAAGTAACTAACCACGTTATGATTAGATACTTAAACACAGTTCTTCTAACTTTATCACTAAATAACTAATCATGTTGTCAATAAAACAATACATCTTGTAACTTTATGGTTCTTTTAAAACTTTGCATGCATGCACTTTGCTACGAAGTTTACAAGACATTCTTACCATTTTTAAACACATTTTTTCCAGTTTATTAAATTATGATTTAAATCTTTGGAGTTTTAGTATCTTAGAATTAATAACTACTTTTTGCTATTAGGGTTGTAAGAATTTTTGAAGTTGTATATTAGTCTACCCATCTTTCCCGCCAAGCTGAATAGTGTTGTATCTACTACCTTTATTAGGTTTTACATTGATTTGAGAAGAATACTATGCTGAAATTGTAGGCAATGCTCTGATTGCAATTATGATGGAATGAAGCTTCTTTTGTTGTTGACTGGATTTGCTTGAATATATAGGTGGTTTTGGTAACTACATCTTTGCAATGAGTTCAGAAATTGCAAAACAATCTCCAGAAGATAGCACTAAGCAGAATATTAAGGAACCAGGTTTAGGATGGATGATAGCATTTGTATCTGTCGTTAGTTTTCTTGGCCTTTTTTCAGTGGTTCCACTTCGGAAGGTATAAAAATCTGACGACACCAAGTGATGAACAATGTATTCACGGAAAAATATATGATCAAAGAATTAGTTTTACCATCATTCATTAATTATAACCAGAGCCATTATAATATAGGATAAAGTTATAATTTCAATGTCTAATTTTAAATTTGCTTGCATGCCATTTAGTTCTTGTGCATGTTAAATTCTACTTTTCCTTTTAATGTTCGTTTTTAGATTATGATCGTAGACTTCAAATTGACATATCCTAGTGGTACTGCAACTGCCCATCTTATCAATAGTTTTCATACAACAGAGGGTGCCAAATTAGCTAGGTAAGGATTCGTGCCTTTGTTATTGCATAAGCTTCTTTCTCTTTATAAATATATCAATAAGATGCTTTCAATTCTTGTCTATTTTAGGAAGCAAGTATATGTGCTTGGAAAGTTCTTCTCCGTTAGCTTTTTATGGGGTTTCTTCCAATGGTTTTACGGTGCTAGTGATGGATGTGGATTTAAAAGCTTCCCTACATTTGGTCTAGAAGCCTATGAAAAACAGTATGTGACTCACTATATATTATTTGAATAAAGAAAAAAATCAATATGTGAAATAAAATTAGAAAAAGAACTTGAAGGGTATCTATTATTACATTATAACATATAAAATTGGAGGCACTAACTTGATTTTACTTAAATCCTTAAAAGGAGAAACAGAAAATTATGTCATTTACCTCTTTTATTTTAATAATAAATCAAATAAAAATATTAAAATTCAGTATTTATTATAAGTTTTGTGTATGTATTTTAGTTCCTTTTCTATCAATTATTTATCTACATAACAGGTTCTTCTTCGACTTTTCGACTACATATGTGGGGGTTGGGATGATATGCCCATATATAATCAATATATCTCTTTTGGTTGGTGGAATTATCTCTTGGGCTATCATGTGGCCTCTCATTGAAGATAGAAAAGGAGATTGGTACTCTGCAGAGCTCAAGCAAAATAGTTTGCATGGCCTTCAAGGTTACAAAGTAAGTTGTTTTTTACAATTAAAAAATTCAAAAGCTGTGTTTCATTGTGATCAAAGTTACATGGATAATATTCCAAGAATTGACTAAGAACATTTGCTACTACAATAAATATTCAAATTATTTGCAAAAATGAACTTTCTTGATTAAAATATCAACAAATTGGTCATGAGTTATTGATAAACAATCATTTTATACGTAGTTTTCGTGTTCAGTAATCACTCTCTCAAACAAGATAGAAATTTGTAGACACACAAGTAATTCAATCACTAGGGCCTTATGTTATACTCATAATTAGGATTGTATTGTTTATTTTGTAATTTGACAATTTTAGTTATTTGCATTGAAAGTTATTTTGTGCTTTCTTTAAGTTATTTTAGAAAAACAATTACTTGAATCTTTCCAACTTTTTGAGAAAGCATTTTTACAAAAAAAAAATAATAATAAAACTTATTTCCTGACATGCATATAGTTTGAATTAACACTATGAAACTAACTTTGTTAAAGTTGTGGCAGATTATAATACAAGTATTAAGAGGGTAATGAGACCCTTGAAAACATCTAGTGATGAATAAGTTGGACAAAATTAGTACATTTAGTATCAATAATATGACACTAAAGTATCATCCTATTGTTAAGTAAATGGTATGGTAGCTAATTGAATAACATATCCTCATGTTGATTATAATAATGTACCTTTTAACAACAGGTTTTCATAGCAATAGCAATGATTCTTGGTGACGGCTTATACAACTTTATCAAGGTTCTTGGTCGTACTATTTTTGGTCTGTATAACCAATTTTCAAAAAAAAACTTGGACACATCTAGTGACTCACCTTCGTCGCTTTCATATGATGATCGGTGTAGAATTGATATGTTCCTCAGAGACCAAATTCCTGCCTGGTTTGCTATTGGTGGTTATGTTATTATTGCAATAATTTCTGTTGTTGTTGTTCCCTGCATCTTCCACCAGCTCAAATGGTATTATATTGTTGTGATTTATGTGATTGCACCAGCATTAGCATTTTGTAATGCCTATGGGTGTGGACTAACAGACTGGTCTCTGGCATCCACTTATGGAAAATTGGCCATCTTCACAATCGGTGCATGGGCAGGGGCCGCTCATGGTGGTATTCTTGCTGGTTTGGCTGCATGTGGAGTTATGATGAATATTGTGTCCACAGCATCTGATCTGATGCAGGACTTCAAAACAGGTTACATGACATTAGCTTCACCAAGGTCCATGTTTGTGAGCCAAGTTTTTGGAACAATCATGGGATGCGTTATATCTCCTTGTGTTTTCTGGCTTTTTTATAAGGCCTTTGGAAACCTTGGAGTCCCTGGCTCACAATATCCTGCCCCTTACGCTATTGTTTACCGTAATATGTCAATATTGGGAGTAGATGGCTTCTCATCTCTGCCAAAATATTGTCTACTCCTTTGTAGTGCGTTCTTTATAGCAGCAATAATTATTAATCTTATTCGAGATTTGGTTGGAGAAAAGTGGGCCAAATTTATTCCTGTTCCTATGGCTATGGCAATACCCTTTTATATTGGAAGTTATTTTGCCATTGATATGTGTGTGGGAAGCTTGATCTTATTTGTTTGGAAGAAGGTTGACAGGGTTAAGGCTGATACATTTGGATCAGCTGTAGCTTCTGGTTTGATTTGTGGGGATGGGATTTGGACACTTCCCAGCTCATTTCTGGCTCTGGCAGGAGTGAAGCCACCTATCTGCATGAAATTTTTGTCCAGAAAGGTAAATGCAAAGGTGGATGGATTCTTAGGATCTTGAGGCCACCCTGTTAATTTTATGTATCTTTTTGTTTGAAGATATACATTAATTTTAGCAACTTTTTAGCTAGATACTCTTACGTCAGTCAACCCCTCCGATGTTTAGATGTTACTGTGTATGGACCAGACCTACTTTTATCGGTTTCATTTTGTGAATTAACATGAATATGAAGTGTTTCAACACGTACAGAACATATTTTTGCACCAAAAATAGCACAATAAAATTTTCAAATTATTGCCAGCATTGAACATCACTATTATCAGTTAGTTTAAGGCGTATTACCCTCCTATTATATATGCTCTAATAAAAAAATTCACCAATAATTCAGCTTTAAAGAATAACGGTAATAAAACCCAAATTCGATTAAGATAAAATCTTAATTTAGTGAAATAAACTGTACTGTTGCAAAGTCCATGAAATTAATTGGATAATTGTATGTTTATTTATCAGATTTAACGATACCATTTATCTTAGTACTCGAACAAAAAGCTTTTCAACCTTAAATATTTATATCTGGTTAGAACTTAAAAACCAATTTCTTGTGACAGAATCTGCACCTTAAAGAGTGTAGAAAAACCTATCAAGATTTAAAAGGGAAAAAAAACTCAATTCTCCAGATTCAATAATTATTAGAAGGTCCAAAATCCATATTCATATACACTTAAATGACAATGATCAAGCCAAACGAGAATCTGGAGTTGCGCTTTCATTAATAAAAGATACGAACACTCATTTATCGCCTTCAAACCACCGTCTAACAAGTTCAAAGTTTAATTAGCAGAGTTTAATGTGTAAGTAGATAAGATATACATATCGACCTAATTATGTACATGTACTACGGAATTACATGTTAATTTCTACTCTTCGAGCTGCTCCGCTCTAAATGGTCTGCAGCCTCGCTTAATGCATGGAGACACATTTTCTTCACCTATAGCACACAGAAATTAAAAGAAAAAAGACAATATTGGTTACCATACCATTTTTATGACACGAATAAGGGAGAGATCATATACACAACAATGCCAACTATTCAAATTAGCCCAGATGTATGGTTTATGGATGTGAACGATAGATACCCATGTTAAGCGAGAAACAGAGTTGCTGTAACTACTATACTTCAATTATACTAATCAATGTAGTGAGGTACATGAACATGACAACTTGACACAGATTAGTCGTAGAAGTAAAACTGCACAATACAAAAATTTGCCCGCACTTTGCAAATAAATCTGTTCGAACAGTGCCCACTTTTAATAGCATCAATTATATTTGTTGCTTTTTCATTCTTGAATGTGATTAAAATCAAGTTGTAATAATGACAGAACCGATTGATTGGTATTATAACTACAGTCACAATTACTAGAACTATATTTGGACAAAAATAAAATTACAACCCATGCCCCATTAAATTGGTCCAAATGCAGTATGCAGTAGAAACAACTTCAAAACCATGTAGTTTTTCTATATAACCTATCAAATCCAGATATCCTTTTATCAAGGTTGACTCATGCTACCCAGAAAGCCATACTTATTCTATATCATGACGATCATAGTTTAAGTGGCCAAATAGATTGGCACAACATAATGAGGGGAAAATTATACATACATATACATATACATACATACATATATATATATATATATATATATATATATATATATATATAAGTCTAGAGTGATACATGCTATAAGAATGCATACCCCAAGTCTGTCTTCGTTTGCTTTATGGCTTGATGGAAGAGTACGAAATTCGTTGGTCAGACGAATACATTCTTGGATATTTTCAGGGGAGACAAAGTCTAGAGCAACCTTTATGCACGACTGCCAAAAACCATCAATACAATGTTAATGTCAATAACATTACAACTAAAAAGTAATTAACATGGAAAAGGGAAGACAGGCATGCATTTGTTGTTGATAGGCATGGTTTGAAAGACCCACATCAATTAGTAACAGCGCAAAATAGAATCAAGACATAAATGGACATAATTTAGAATTGGAACACACCTTTAAGTTTCTAACTTGATGGGGACACCCGGCAGGTATAAAAACAGCCTCACCAAGGTTTTGTATAAAAGTCCAAGGTTCAACTCCTGTAACAGGACCCTCGAATGCATAAATGGGAAGATGGTGAAATTCTATCTAAGACAAAATAAATATAGATAAAGAACTAACCAAATTCTTCTTTGAGTTTCCTTTTATGATAAGAATTCAGATAAAAAACTTGATCATGAATGGGGTGAAAAACCTATGCCATAAGATGAAGATATAAAATAACAATCAAGATAGTTTAAGACTAGGATAAAACCTATTCTATAAGATGAAGATATAACATAACAATATATATTGATCTCAATATTAGTTACATTTAACAGAAGTGAATATAAATGCAATTTCCTAACAAAAACACTATACATGCAATTTCCTAACAAATATGCAGTTTCCAATGAAAATATTCAAATAAAACTAATACTTGAATTGAATCTCAAAATTAAGAAAGACTCATATTTGATGACAACTCCCCCTCCCAAGAGAAAATTGATACATATTTTTTATTTAAACAAAGCATTAGTATTTTGAGATATTGTCAATTATTAATTAAAAAAAATCAAGAGCAGAGTAGAATAGAATTTTCTTTTCTTTTAGTATAGAAGAATATCTTGATTCAAAAGGTATATTAAGAAAAAGACTTAATTGAAAAGAAAAAATAAATAAATAAGAGTAAACTATTCAAAATCAAAACCTGACCAGCATTATTTTCAAAAATTATGTAATTACCTGATCCACTTGAGAACAATGGAGATGCCTGAATTCCCTACAATGCTTCCTAAGGTATTCTTCAAGCTTGCACACGTCTTGCCTCCGAAAAATATCCCAGACAGCACCTCCCTCGGCAAATTCTTGTCCAATGTGCATATTTACAGAGTCCACAGGATGACTAATACATCCAGCATCTTGTTGCTGCACCTCCTCCGTTGAAGTATGCCCAATGGAAAAAACAGTATTAAATTTTTTCACATCCCCAACATTTTCCGCCTTCCAATCCTTTTTCCCTATTTGAAACTTGGTACTCGTAGCATATAATTCTGACTTCATATCAAAATCATGTGGTGATTTAACTACATTTTCCCTCACAATAATTGCATTCCCTTCTTCAGAGTTTATCATTTCACCGGTTTCCTTTTCCAATGAATTTCCTGAATTTGCTCCTATTTTGTTAGTAATCTCATCTTGCACTTCTTTTCTTCTCCTATTTTGTGAAGTACAATCATTTGTTAGTTTAACAGTGGCATGCTTTCTGCCGGGCCCATCATTATCCATTCTTGACATTTGGATAAGGGAAGACCCATTAAGAACTGACAAGTCATCAGCTGCCTGCAATGAAATATTATCTTCTGATATGGATTTGCACTTCACTGTAGAATTATCATTCTGCAAAACCTTAAAAAGTTCACTTAGGTCTTCAGCAGCATATTTTTGTTTCAACGTCTCTATTTTGGTAAGATGTTGAGAAGTGAAGGTCACCTCTTCAGTATGTGTCAAAATATTTACCTAGAAAATAAAAAATAAAATAAAATCAGATGTCTAAAAGCTGGAATTTAATCTAATAGTTGCAAATAATAATTAAAATAAATTATTTAAATCAATCACACAATAGATGCATACTTGACAACAAAACCTACGTCCTCTAACACTATCTATGGATAACACAGCTAACATTCATCAGTTCATTGAGCTAATTCAAGCCAAATTCAGCCTTGAACATTAAACACGTATTAGAAGATTTTTTTATATCCTATAGTGGTTGATGCTGTTTGAAGCTTTCCAAAGGCTGTTTTAATTCATCTGGAGTGTTTAGAGTTGTTATTGTATCATTTGTATGGTTTCATCGCTGGTGATTTTTCCAGAGGCCATATTTCTGGTGGCAATTTTAAATTGCACCTGTAACTTCTTCCAGTGGTGCCTTTTTGTTCCCTTGTAGCATCTTCCTAGCGGTGTCTCTGATGGTGATACAACATTTCAATTAAATTTTGGGCTAATGGGGGCTATACATCATTCCTATCATGCTATATTTGTTGGGCTATCTTTCTAGAAGTGCTCATTTGCTACATAGTTTCTCCAACAGTATGATGGATGTAGAGTTAAAGAGTCCATTATAAAACTTATTTTCTGCTATGTGTTATGTACAGTGAATCACCGATTTAATCGCTGAAATTATAACGGTCAGTTAAATTGGTCCCTCAAGTTAACAAAATGGCAAAACTGGGTCCCTGAAATTGTAAATTGTCTATCAACTTGGTCCCTTTGTTATCTAGTGTCATCTAACAGTCAAAAAGATCAAGTTAACAGGTACGTGCCTGGGTCATAGCAAACTAAGCACACATGTGGATGTCATGTCACAAGGATGAAAATGACCAAAACATAGGTAGAATAATAATCAATTTTCCCTTTCCCGGCATCTTTGTTTCCATTAGCTTCACATCTTTTGATTTATCCAGTGAGGAAATCTCACCACAGTAGCCCCAGAAACCAAGTTATACCAAGCATGCATGATTAAAGAAATGTGACTTGCTGAGGTTTACAAAGATGACGCTCACAATCAAGTAGCAGGGGCGGGGGGAGAGAACCACAAATGAAAGATGGTAGAGAGGCACCACACAAGGTGATGATTTTGTTCACTCAATGGCTAAGATTGCTCCTCCTTTGTTGGTCATTAGACAAAGGGAAGAGACATTGTGATGTGGCAGTCACATGTCTACCCAGATGACTATCACACATGCACTTAATTTGTCAACTCACTTAGTATTTTTAACTACATTAGATGACACCAACTAATAGAGGGATTAAATTAATTGACGATATACAGTTTTAGAGACCATTTTGTTAATTTCAAGGAACAGTTTATCTGATTCTTACAATTTCCAAACTAAATTGGTGATTCACTATGCTTTATAAAAAGATGAGGGGATTTTCTTCCTGCACCATTCATTTTTTGTTTTGCACTCATCAACTATAGTTGCAGAAATGATATTTTCCTAAATCCCAGACTTTCATCAGATGTGGTGACTATCCATAGTTGCAGCTATCATGTTCTTCACTTGTTCTTCAGTTCAGTTGGATTGGGCCTTGGCAGAAACATTCATATTTTTTTATATTCCAGAATACATTTTTCCTATTCTGGAACAAATTCTCCGAACACATTTTTTACTCTGTATTAGGTTTTCTGGAAGACAATTTTAATATTCCAGAATGAGTGTTTCGAAATACATTTAACATTTTGAATTGGGTGTGCATTTTTAACATTCCAAAATGGCTGTCCTGGAATACATTTAACATTCTGGATTGAGTGATCTATAACACATTTTTAACCATTCGGATTGAGTGTTCTGGAGAGATTAAAGAAAGGATAGTTTAGGAATTTTTAAAAAATAACAGGCGTATGTATTGAATGAAGGGTGTTGGAAGAAAATTCCAAAGATGTGAGTTAGACAGAGCTCTTAAGCATGCTAAGTTGAGAACAATTGGGCTTGGTTAGGTATTTTAGGATAACCCCTAAAACCAACTCAAAGGTGGGGGCTTAGTCCCACTCACTCCCACATCAACTAGAAATATAGCTCAAGTAAAGCTTATAAAGCTTAGACAATTCTCACCTAACAAGCTGGTTTTTTGAGGTTTAGTTAGACCGTAGGGCAAAATCCTAAGAATTAGCTTGCCAACTAATCTTTTATATCTCCCCTTGTCAGCAGAAGTGTCTTCTTTACAAACTGTGTAATCAGCTTGACATTGTTTATACCCATGTGAGATAATGAGCTTTGCAAATATGTCAAACCAAGCATGAGGTGACTGTTTTTTCCGGTATAAAAGCTTCTTAGTTTCACATATCATTCATTTGTTGGAGTTTTCTTGGCCTCATGACATCCATGAATGCATCTTCTTCTAGATCACCATGGCTTTTTTTCATGTAAAGTTGATGAAGTGGCCATTGATTTCTACCTTTCAATGCTTCCATCTGCATTGTATTTGACTATAAATAACCACTTGCAACCCATGAGTCTTTATCATTGAGGTAGTTTTGAGTGTCCAGGTCCCATTGCCTTTTGGTGCACTGATTTCTTCTTCCACTGCACACTTCCATGCAAGAATCTTTAGTGCCTCTTCGATAGAGTTGGGAACTTGTGTGCTGTCGAGAGTAGACACATATACAATGTATGAAGTTAGTAGCTATTCGCAGGCAACACAATTTTTAATAGGGTAAGTGATGCATGATCGAACACCCTTTCTCGAAGCAATGGGTTGACTTAAATCATCAACAATGAGACCAGAATCATGATTTGAAAGATCTATACCTGTGTAAATTCCAGCAAGATGGGGTGTGTTAGAATATTATAATTCCTATTGTTTCGAATTCAAGCAAGTTATTACTTATTAGGCTGGACTTAGCTATTTGTACGCTAGTATGTGACCTAGAATAATTATTATAAAATAGATGAATTAGGCCAGAATTTAATGTTTATGTCGTATACCTTGTATTATCACACTCATGTCATTATGAGTGCGATGTGGTATGATAGACAGTCAAAATTAGAATAATAGAATTCCTATAGTTTTAGGAGTATCAAGCTTGGTTTGAACTAGTTGTAATACACTAGTGCATGACCAGTGATTCCAGAGTATTAGTAGAAATAAGTATATAAGATGAGTATATCATATACATTGTATTATCCACTCATAAGTCATAATATATTAACATCACTCAGACCTCTTCTCAGATGTCCCATCTAATCCCTTTTTCCTTTATTTCATTTGGTACACAGTTTAATGAACGGGGAGGTTTCCCCATAATTTCAACAAAAATATTCTAAAATGGATGATGAAACCCTTTTAATTCAAACAACAAATTGTCAACCATCACATTGCAATGTAGAGAATATATGATACTACTACCTTAAGATGATTGGTCATCAAAAAGCTCCATCGAATACACAATTGATCATTCTTCTTTCAATATGCATATGCGTAGCCTGCACCAGTACCTCTTCTTCATATTTGCATAAGAATGTAATTCATTTACTTGCACACACAAGAAACAGCAACAAATACGTCAAAAGATGACCAAGCAGCAATAATTGTCGTTAGGCAGTGAAGCACAAAGAAGATTAGTTCAAACTTCAAAGTACATGAATTGGTCAAGGTTCTCAAATCGAGTAGTTTGTTCAAGAACTTGTGATAACTTGTTTTGAGAAAGTAAGCCTTCAGAAAGAAGATAATATTTATGAACAATGCAACCCTTATTTCTGCATTGTGATAAGAAGCTTGGGAGAACCATACCACAGAAGCTAGCCATTGTAACTGGAGAGCCTAAGGCCTTATAAGCCCCACACTTTCCATACTTCCAGTGTGGAAACCCAAGTCCTATACCTTGCAATTGGATCCTAAGTCTTAGCATCCTACCATGCTCCATAGTCCAGGTATCCATGCAGATTGGTCATGCACCACACAACTTAAGTGTGGTTAAAAGCTCTGATACCAATTGATAAGAACTTTGGGACTAGAGAGAACCACACCACACCACAAAAGCTAGTCCTGGTAGTTGGAGAGCTTGAGGCCATATAATAAACTCTGCACTAAAATTCCATGCTTCTAAAGTGGGACTCAAGTCCCATATACGTTGCATTTGGATCATAACACATAGCAATGCAGCCTACTTTCTTTGGAAAAAGCCTGTTGGAACTTCTACAAGCAACGGGTGAGCTCCACTTTAGAGCAGCTTGTGTTGGTTTGATTCAAAAGTTTTTGGCTAAAGCAAGGACAACAAAATTCTGGCAGTTGCAATATATGTTATTCCTTGGTGCATTTAGATGGAGAAGAATGCATGCATCTTCAAGGGTGTCTCATCACTTGCACTTACATTTGCTTTTGGACCAGGCCATATTCTGTTTGGCCCATATTTTTCAAAGGGTGCGGCCATCTCCAATATGAAAAGGGAATGAACAGTCCTGCAGTATTCCCAGTCCTCTACATTCAAACTATTACCAGTTTTAACTGCAAGTTGTGATGGGATTCTCGGGCCCAAAATCAGAACAGAGCATGAAATGAATAAAGTGCTGGACTTGAGTCCAAAAAGGCCTATAATATGGAGGGTGTACACCTGAAGAAAGAAAATAAGGTCAGGGGAGAGTTAGTGACGGGGCTAGTAGTGCACAAGGTGATATTCTGTTATCCAGCAGAAATTTAGTAGCAGGCGGGGAGGCGAGAAAGGATTCAGTTTTGGGCATTTCGCATTGCAACAGCCAGGAGAGTATCTCTCTAGGAGTCCTAGGCTCTGGTTTATGCATTTTTCCTTTCTTTTTAACAGCTCTAGCAGCTCCTTTTACATTGAATAATACAACTTGACCAGAACTATTTCTGTGTCTCTATCAGGTATGAAGTGGAAATGAATATAGATCACGAGAATTGACAGAGTCAGAGCTACTATGACTTGAAACAAATCAGCAAGTCCATCAATTGTGATAACTACCTCACTAGTGGCAAATTATATTATTGGCTTAGATGCAAACCAGGTTTGCCTCCATGCTTTCAACAACACTTCTTAGCAGCTCTACTTTACCTAATATATACCAGCATGCCCAGAGTTTACAATGAAGCATTTTGGCAGAAATATAACATTAAATTATTCATGTATATTTCCCTGACAGCTTAAGCTTATGGGATAGTCAGTTCAAGACATGGTATCAAGGTCTCCACAACCTAGTGATCTAGAGTTCAAAACTCATTGCTCCCATTCTTCTAATAAAAATGTTTAATTTCAACACACTTCAAGCCCAATGGGCACTTGCATGAAGGGACATGTTAGAAATAAAATATAAAATCATTCATATCTCTTCCCCTGACAACTTGATTGTTAATGACACCCTCAAGCCCACTCTCAGAACACATGGACAAAATAACTTCATTGCCTAACATTATCAGGAAATGGAGTTGCACAGTTTGAACAGATCCCCAATTAAAAAGATGTATAGCAGAAGTGATATGGGTGAGCAAAGGGGAATAGAACTTAGGCAGTTCCAGTGTTGCACAAAGCTGAGTCAGAAATAGACTGTTGGAGATCCTAATTGATCAGGGAAAGGAACAACATATATCAGATGGATGGGGGAGAGAAAGTGCCAGGTTAAGATGATTCTAGAATATAATTTGTAACAGAAAATCAGATCTCTTGAACATCTTGGAGTGGAGAGAGCTTCGTTCTGCTTTTCCTTCTTCTAGATTCAGTAATGACATTGATTCAGATTTAGAGAAACAAATCTTCAAACAGATAGTGTCAACTACATGGATCAAACACCACCATAATGTCCTATTGTAAATTATCAGTATAAAAGTATTGACCTCTCAATCCTTTTTAATGGTTTTGCCTATCATTTTTCCCATCTCATTACTAAAGCTTCCACAAATCTCCTCTGCAGATGCTTAAATCACATAATGCAAGCTTCTAGCATCTTTTGTAGCATAGGTGTTAACCTAACTTTCTATCTGGTGTGCTTATTCCTAATTATCTCGTCACTAGTCCACTTATCAAATGCAATATCGTCTTTTAGTTTACTGTCTCCGCATTTTACCACCCAACATTCAATTTCATACAACATCACTAGTCTTAAAGCTATCCAACATTGTCTACTCATCCAATGCAACATTGTCATTTTTTAATTTACTATCTCCACATTTTACCACCCAACATTCAATTTCACACAACATCAAGCTATAGAGTAAAAATTTCCACTTAACCTTGGTCAATATAGCTTTCTCTCATAGATAACACCTAAAGCATTTCATATTTTCATTTCTTCTACTTCTACCTGCTTGAATCATAGGTATTACCCCAAGATGCCTAAATCGGGTGACCTGTGGCACAGTATGATCTCCTATTTTCATCACTAAGCTAGGAATGGTGTTCCTCTTACAAGGCTCACATTCCATAAAAAGAGAAATCTTCATTCAATAAAAATTCCTCCATTTCAATAATTTCTATGATTTTTTATCCAGTTCCAATTAGATAATCACCATTAGGGGTCAACTTATATATTTATATAACTGATAGCACTTGCTCCAAACAACTGTTGAGAAAAGGATTCTGTGGTGCTTGTCTGGGTGCGTGTGTGTGTGTGTGTCAGCCTCGTGATTGTCACTGGTTATAAAATTGGCTTTTAAAGGACCAAATGACTAGTTAGAGTCAACACTAAAATTGGAGGAGATACTATGAAAACATTAACCACAAATTCTATCATGCCAAGTAATGACCTTAAGACCACCAACCTATATACAAAAGCAAGTCCCTTTGCTAAAAAGAACTATGAACTTTATTAAAAATAGTGCATTCACAACTTCAGATTTTGGTTCATTTGTGTTTAATATAAACTGAGAAATTATTTTCTAACCAGAGCTCTACTGAATGAATTTTACATACCGCATCTGACATGTCACAATGAAGCTTGGTCACCGAATCTCCACGTAAAAGCTCTTCAGCAAAGCCATATGCTATATATGTCTTTGGCCCCAAATCAGGTTTCAAAGACTCTTCTGGTAGCTTTGTGGCCAAGTTAAGAAAACCACTGCGAGGATGCGTATACTCTTTGTAGGGTAAGGCACTAATAAACTCCATACCATGACGCGGTAACCTCTGCTCAAATAGATTAGATGGAGGCCAATCTTTGAGCTTGAGCATCTCTGGCCAGGAGTCACGATGAGCACGGCCCTCTGAGTATCCCTTGAAAAATTGATGGATATTTATTTCAACCTGAATGTTCACAAGGCTTAATAAAAATATTGCACGTTACCAGTTTAAATTACAATGATAAGCAAACACACATGATGCTTACTGAACAATTAAAGAGACTAGATCTGGCAGAAAAAAAGGCCTGCTTACTTTAAGAAAATGTTGACTATTTTCATTTTCTTTTTTCACTTGCAATTACAAAAATGTCACCTTTTTTCATTTCATTTTATAAGAGTGGAAAACAACTTTTTATTAGGTAAATTTGAACTAATAACAATAACTAATTTTTGTTGATACTTTATGCAATTTTATTAAGAAAATTTTAAATTTCTAACTCAGGATTTTATATAATGGAAAGAATGACAACCAACCTACCTAACTTCATACATAGTCCTTGTTTGTTTTAATTTTAAAGTTAAATTCAATTCTTACATAAGTTCAGATTAATGTTTAGGCACACATCTCAATCACATTGAATGGTTCAAAACCAATTCTACCAAACACCAAACCAAACGGGCATATAATCTATTTGTATAGTCATTAATTGGCTACAAAGTTCTCATATTTTAAAGATTTTTTTGTGACAATGGTGGCAGCAAAGATCTATAGTATACAATGAGACTTTTTAAATATATACAGTAAATAGTAAATGCCAAAATCTAGAGTATCCTTTTTTGTGGGATAAAAGAATTTATTAAAGAAAAAAGGAAAATATAAAAAATAAAAGGATACAATTTTTTTTCTTAAATCAACAAAAATTAAGAATTCTTTTCAAGTTGCAGAAGCAGCAAAGCACTAAAGGGGGAAAGGGAATGTATATGCACGTAAGAGCTTTCACATTCCTCCAGATCAAACAAACAACAAAACCAGAGCAAAACAAACCTTGAACAGAATCTACCTTGTAATCATATATATAAATGCCTCATGCATTAGCTCCAAAATAGACCAAAAACATATAATTAGGAACCTCTATTAAAATACATTAAAAAAAAAAAAAAAAGTAAGCATCCAAAATATATAATATGACTGACCTCACACCAATCTAGGCAGTCAATTGCTTTCACATTCAAATGTTTGGAACCATGATAAGTCAACTCACGCATTGCACGCCACATTACCATTGGCTCCCAGCTCAAGCCAGAGGTTAATTCAAGAGCATCCCTAACAATAACGGGCTCTCCCTTAATCCAATGGCCCTGGAAATGTTCCAGATCCCCACATTTAACATCACTAGCTGAAGGACAGTACAAATAGTTGTCACTTGAGCCTTCTCGTGCAGCAGCTTGTCGCAACTTGTCATTGATGGAGTCAATTTCATCAAGAGATTTGAAGCAAGAATTGCACCGTGCAGGAACTGTGGGCATACCTTCTAGTCCATGTACTTTGATTAATCTTTTCACTTTTTCCCTTAACTTTGAAATCCAATTTTGAGGAAATATACACTTCAGCTCAAGATATTCATATCCACAACCATCATTATCCTCTGGTGAACAGGGGATCGCACCATTTTTCATAGCCCTCCACAAATACTTTGGTCTCACAGGGCTTGACTCAAGACAAATGTCTGATGATTCTTTGTTGCATGACTGCAGATCTAAAGGCTCTCCATTATGCGAATGAGCATTAGAAGCATCAATACACTGCTCAACTAATTCCCCTGGCAAGAAATTGCCACGAATTTCCCGGCAACAAGTAAGGCAAAGATCATATGAACAATTCGGACAGCTCCTATGAAAATCAATAATAGAGGTTTTGCAATTGTTGCTGCATATGATCACCAGTAGCATTGGGTAATGACAATGAGGTAAAAACACAGCAACATACGTTAAGTAAAATAAAATGATTTTGAAAAGAAACTAACCAATAAATACGTTCATATTTGGAACAGTCGATTTGGACAACTTCTACATCGGGAAGCAGTAACCCTGCCATTAAAGCAACAAATTAATAGATATACTGGCATTGCATGTAATATAACAATCAGCTAAACTACTATAGATTAAATTAAAAATCTACAAAATATGCTTGCATGTGTACACATTCTATCTCCTCAGTCTCTACAGATAAATTAGCTAGTCACAATACAAGAAACTTAGGGTTACAACTTACAAGACAAGTGTAAATTTGTAGTTGAGATATAATGAATAAATAAAAATAACATAGTATCCAGACCATCCCCCCCCCCCAACACACACACACACATATACACAACAATCAATAACAGTGATCATAATAAGACCAATCTTTAATTACTAATAGCAACTGATGCCAGTCTTGCTGTTATAAAATCAATATTTCAGGCATCATCAATTATCAAATAAAAAAACACTTTTATAAATACAGGCTTACATCAACATGATATTTATGTTGTAGTGAAGCTAGGACCAATATAACTATTACATACCTTTACTCTTTGCTTCCATCTCCATTTCCAACTGCTGCTCATGATTAAATTGTTCCAGAAAAGGATACAATGCTCGCAACAAATGCTTCAAATGTTGAATCTTTTCATCTTCATTTTGAGGCACTCCAGAAACCTTAAGTACATAGTCAGTCAATCACACTATACTTGTTTCTCACATAAGATAAGAGAAAGCCTGAAATGAAGAGATGGCATATCCATTTTGCAAGTACTTACCGTATTTACATCTTTTCTACGTAAACATGCCTTGCAGTTACAATTACCTCGACAATATGGACAAGATTCAGCTATTTCCTCCTTGGACATTTGTGGATACCTGTATTAATCAAAAGAGACAAATTTTACAGGGAGGAATGGGAGAGTAAATGTTCCCGTTTCAAGCAGAAAATTTTCAATGAGAAATAAAAGTCCAATTTACTATTCTTGTAATGGAAAACATCTAACACACACTTGAACTTCTAGAAACTTGCAACATGCTTCCTCGCAAGACACGAGAGAAAATTCCAAACCATACATTCCAGATATTTAAATTGACACCTTATTTGCAATAAAAGCCTCAATGTTTCTACCATGTTCGATTTTCTTTTCAGTTTGCTTTAGCTATATATCATTGCCCAATATCATACTAAAATACATTTAGCCAGTGTTTGGTTCCACATTGAAGGGCTGAATACGCACATAAATGACAAAAAAATTCAGAAGCTATACATTAAACATGGTTTTGACATGATTATGGTCCTGCACCGATGTAGAACCAAACACACTTACGCAAGATGGCATAATATACATGACAAATCATATTTAGCATGTTCGGATTTGCGTTGAGGGAGAATGGATTCATATCTCTCCCAAAGCTACTCTCAAAAGCTTCGGCGTCAGTGTAGCGTACAGAAACCCATAGTAGCAGACCAAAATCCTAGACTGAGTTGCTATAATCAGCTCACACAAACACAGTTCAAAGTTTAATGGCTTAAAACATATCGCTCATTAACAAATGAACACCGTAAGGCATAGAAGCATGCATCCTAATCCTATTACCACATTCCACAAAACAACACATTAAAAATCAAATAAACTGAATACAATTTCAAGTCCTCGAGCAGCTTCTCATGCAAGAAAACAAAGGAACATAAGGAAACGAAGGTTCGAAGCGATACCATCTCCGAATGCATGGGACGCAAAATCGTTTGCAACAGTTCCGATTCCGACAGTGAACAACGGTCCTATCACTCTTCTGGCACTGATGACACATTCGAGACTCGGAGACAGAGGCTTTCTGCTTCGCGTCGTTGAACTTGCAGGAAGAAGAAGAAGACGACTTCGTCCTCGCGGTTTTCACCGGTTTTCCTTCGTCGGTGTCGAAATCATCATCCATTAGAATAAGCGCTTGCTTGATCTTCTCTCTGCTCCTAGTTTTCCGGTCTGGTAACGGCACCACTTCCTCGTTCGGAGACTTCCGCTCTCGTTCTCGTTCCGCTTCGAATTTCACCTTCTTCGTTTTGGCTTTCTCCGGAACAGTCGCTTCGTCTGGTTCGCGAAGCCTCTTCGAATTGTTCTTCTTATTCTTCTCATTGTCTATTTGCGGTGAAGAAGTGGAAGCCTTAGGTTTGGTTTGTTCAACGTGAGAGTACCTGGCTCTGGAGGAAAGGAAATGGTGCTCGCAGTAGAGCTGGTCGTGAATCCTCCAGTGGCGGCACCGCCATGACCTGCCGTCGCGCCGCCGGCATCGGAGGTCGCCCGGCGGCTCTATTCTCGGAGGTTTCTTCTCGCTCTCGCTCTCGCTTTCACTCTCACTCCGCGGCATCACTCTCACCACTTTTCTGATTTATTATTATTGTTATTACTATTATTATTACTACGTGCTGTCCTTTTGGAATTGAGAAGAATGGCGTTGAGAGCTTTTAAATAAGAGCTACGGTTTCCGAAATTTTGTCCCAATTATAGTCCGAAAAATTAATAAATTTATTATAAAATAATTCTTTAATTTAATATTTTATAATTTAAAATATTATTTTATTCATTCGAAATGAATTTTTTGTATTAAGTTTAAGCGTGATGTGTAAGCTCACCCTTAGGAACATTGAATTGAGTATGTTGAAAGGACTAATAGATTAATAGATGTGATTAGAGGACTCAGGAGTTAAATTTTTTTTAGTGAGCTAATTGAAAAAGATTGGTAGAGGTATAGATAGCCCTTCACGCTTGAAAGTTGATGATGCTTTGAGATTCAAAGATAGAATCTATGTGCTTAGTAATCTCGAATTAAGGAAGATGATCTTAGAAGAAGGACATAAAAGTACTTTTAGTATTTATTTAGGATATACTAAAATGTATCAGAGTTGTGCAGCGGAAGCATGGCTTAAGGAGAAAAGAGAAGTAGAGGAATTTGGATACTAGTATATAGTATGCCAAAAGTTTGAGGTGAAACACTAGAGTCTTTAATATTTTTACAGTCTTTAGACGTCCTAATTTGGAAATAAGATTCTGTATCCATGGACTTAGTTGTAGTTAGTATAGAAGTAGAAAAATAAAAATATGATGTGTGAATAGGCTTGCAATAATCTGTACTATATATATAGGTAAGAAAAAGTGACTACGCGCGTTTTGTAAAATATTGTAATAAAAACTTAGCTACGATTTCTTATATACTGTTGTTGGTGTTGTTTTTCGATCAGAATTGGAGTTTTATCTCAGTAACCGGATAGTGATGTTTGGAAGAAACAGTTGCGTAATTATAGTATTGATTTTGGAATTTGTATGTTTTGAGGTAGTTGTATCGAGTATTGTTAGGCAAAATTGACATCTAATGTAAACCTTCCATGTTTTGAGTACGAAGATGAAATTCTAATTCTGATTTAAAAGAGTAAAGAATTGTTAGTGTGTTTGATTTGGTGGTAGAGAACCATGGTGGATAATTAAATCATGGTGAATTCACCGTAAAAGTAATTATTTTTTGCTTCTAAAAGTCATGGTGAGTTCAACTCACCACGGATTTACACATACACTGTTTAAGTTTTGTCCTTTTTGTACTTTGTGTTGTGCTTTTCATACGAAGAAATATGCTTGCAATAGACCCTACAACACTTTCTTTTTACACTCTTTTATTTGGTGAAATTCACGAGAGTTTCACTGGGTCACATTTCTGATTTGGTGGGTTTTATTCCCAAAGTAGTGAGAGTTACGGGAATTTGAACTAATAGATGAAAGTGTAAGTGTGTAAGAAAGAAAATTTAATGAGTGTGTCAGCATTCTTCTAATATGAAATTAAGTGTTTTAGAGAATATTAGTTGCCTTGCCATTTATTTGAAGTGCTTTGAGAGTTAAAAAACCAGCTGCTTGAAGGGTTTTGGGGAAGGTATTTATTTTAAATTTTAAAATTTAAATTCTTGGGCATGGCCAAACGGATATATGGGAGCAAATGTGTGGCACGAGTATGGTATAGCATAAATTCGGTGCAATTGTCTTAAAAGTAAAACATTATATGTGCATAAGTACATTGCAAAGGAATAATGGCTAGGATGATCTATTTGCGGCCAGTGTTGATTGAATTGATACAGTATAAATTGTTGTACGTGTATTATCACTCAATTATGATTTACTGAATACTATATTATATGTAATATTGCAAGCTGTTCCACTTCAATAGGGGAAATGGGGTATGGTGAAAAATTCTGTTGAAAAGAGATTGTGTTTTTTCTTTATAGAATGATTATTTGGAACTGGTAAAAATGGCAGTGTCCTTTTGATTCATTGAGTTCAGCTAAACATATATATATGTTTAATATTGATTATAAATAATTCTGTTTATTCTTTTGAATTATTGTATTTATTGGATATTGTTCTTACTCCTCTCTTTTCTTTGTTTTTATAAATTAAATATATTACAAAATAGATGGATCTACTTTGGATTCCAGATCATTTTGCAGTTGATATAGCTGTGGTATTCCTTGGAAGGAGGCTATTTGATGAATCTATTACAATTTTTGTAAATTTATTTTCACTATCAATGTAAATATTGTAATAAAAGTGAAAGAAAAATATATTGTGTAAAATAATACATTATTGTAAATATTTTAGAACGATATATCATGTATTAAATTCACAAAATATGATTGTTCTTTACCTTTATCTTTATTAAAAAAAAAATATTGTTAACGATTTAATTGTGAAAATATTATATAAGAAAATATATAATTATTATTATATAAATTGGGCGTTAGAATCGAGCGTTACAAAATCATTTTTCTTTAAATAAATATGAGGTTGTGTTGAATGTTCATGCATTATAGCCTGGAATTTGGATTGTTTCTTACAATATTTTCTTTTCAGTCTCTTTTCAACAACATTAATAATCATTAGATATATCTAATGATTCAAATTTAATCTTATAATTAATGTAATTTTTTAAATGATTTTTATAACATTAAATTTGAGTCTTTAGATATATTTAATGATTATTAATGTTGCTATATATAGTTGGAGAGAAAATATTGTAAGAAAGAATCCAAATTCTCATAGATAAAGTGGTGAATGGTGATGTTTAGGCCTTCCACTTTTCTAAATATTTCACTCATTTTCTTTTCTGTCCAATTATATTTGTATTTTTCTTTATTTTATATTTTTTAAGGGGTCAAATAAGCTTTTAGTTGAAAAAAAAATCATTCTACTTCTTAAAATGCATTTGTTTTAAGTTTTTATGTCTCATAACATAGGACTAATACTTTGTGTTCATGCCATATTGACATCCCAAGTCTCGGGTCAATTCATGTTCACCTTTATACTTATATTTTTTATCAATAAAAAAATTATTATAACACAACAAATTTAATTTTAGAACCTACTACATACTATTTGAACCATTGAATGGTTCTTTTTTTTTTTTTACAAAACCACAAAATGAAACACTAGCGAAAAAATGTATCACACTCTTGGTCAGGATGTTACTTTCGTGACTAATGAAGCAGGATAACATAATACAATTTCTAAACAAAAATACTTTAATGCATTTAACAAAAATTATTGATGATTATAAAATTATGTGTTTTTAATTCTTAATCAATAAAAGTGTGTTCAAAATATATTGTTAGCCTTTTCTATATGTGATAATATGCAAGTTTTTTAGAAACTTATCTTTTAGGAAGATCCTCTTGCAATTTTAACTTTTATAAAGTAAATTATTCAATAGGATGTTACTTTTCAACCGGCACGTGTTATTTTTAGTAATAAATGAACAAATGTTATTACTTGGACCATATGTTGGGACCATTAAAATATATTTCGAGGAAAGGACATAAGTTCAGATATTCTCAAAAGGACATGATATTCTTTTCCTATTTTATTGAAGTATAAATTAAATTAAAAAATGATATAAAAATTTACATAATTTCGTTTGATATTTTTTTTTTGAATTGTCAATGAAACTATTTTGACATTTTTTTTCATACTCACAAGCGTGGAAAATGATGCACAACGTCCATTATATATATAAAAAAAATTCACTTTCTCACTTTTTCCTTTCTTACACCTTTTCACAAACGTTTCACCTTTTTATTTTATTTGGTTACTTAAAAGTGAAAAGTACTTTGTCTCATTCACCACATCCATGTAATTTTTAAAACAAATTATGATAATGCGATTATTTTGAGACAATATTCTTTATTAAGTAATTAACACATAATATTGTGTTGTATTTTATTTTTACTCATTCTTTTATTAAAGAAGGCCTATTTCACTCTATGTAGTATGTGATGCCGATATAAAAGAAAATAATTAAAACTACTTATATTGTGTTTTTCACATTGGTATTACATTAAAAATATAATTCAAACTATTTTTTTCATAATTGATATTTTGTGTTTTTACATTTTATTTAATAAAAATATTTAAAAATTATTAATATTTACTATATTAATTGGTAGTATATTCAGTCTTCTAACTTTAAAATTTTAAGTTTGAATATTGTGTTATAAAGATAATTAATTTTTAATATTATTTTTATTATTTAAAAATTTTAAAATAAAATTATTTAAATAAATATATACATCAAATCAAATCAGATTATTATCTTTATATATATCATAGATAATAAATAACATCACTTTGTTTTTAGTTATATATACATAATCAATCATACCAACAAATATGTGATGGTTATAATAATATATAATCAATTGTCATGGCCGGTTATGTATATAGATAGTTGATTAACTTATTATATATTATTATAAATATTTAACGTAATATATATAAGTTATATTTATTTATTTTTAACTAAATGATTTAAAATATAAAAATAAAAAATGTTTATTATTATTAAAATAATATATATATATATATAGTAATAATATATTTAAATTTAATTATTTTATTTTCAAAATATTATTTAAATTTTTAATATGTTTCTATTTTTCACTTATTTCGATTTTACTTAACAACTATAATTTTTATATTATTTATTTTCAAATCATTTTTCACTCATCGTTGGGCACTATTTAGTGGCTAAAGTTATACTATTTTTCAAGACTGAACTGAAAGTAACGACATAGAACATAATAAAACATAAAATACTAATTGATCAAATTCACAATAAGACAAAAAGGAACATAAAGATCCATTAGACAATTTGTTTGGAACATTCCTTGCGAATGAATGGATCTTCAATACGCACATGCGGTCCAAAGTTACTGGTATACATAATATTATAATCTGCCTTCGACTAATAACTTTTATTTGCATGGCACTTCCCCATACTTAATGCTTTGTCCTTCTGGCACTGATAAACTATTCAATTTCCCACCAAATAGACCAACAAATAAAACTTGCATAGAAACTCCAATAGAAACCGACATAACTTTTCAAAAACCCAATGCCAATACCCGATGCTGTTTGGTTTTCCTGTTTTTCTGCCTTTTGTTGCCAATTACTACTATTATTATACTATTATAATACATAATAGTCCTATTTAAATAAACATATTATGTAAATAAATAAGTAGACTTAATTTTATCTTATTTACTACGAAATCTTGAGATTAAATAGAAAATGAAAATTTTAACCAAACAAAAACAGAAATAAATAATGGAGTGAATACTAAATGATGGATTGGGTTGGTTTTTAGCCAAATAAAAACAAAGATAAATGCAAAAAGTTTACTACTTCCATCACCTCATGCTTTTGAGTCATCAATATTTTATCAGTGCTAATAGGGAGTGGCAGAGTCAGAGAGAGAAAGCAAGAGAGGGAGCTTTATGATGGAGTGGACCTAACTAGGAAAAACCATGAAATGATGAGAAAGGGAAAATGATGGAAGAACAAGCAAAGGAAGAGTTGAAGATGCTTGAAGCCCAATATCCCAACCAACATGAGTTTCTAAAGCATGAGCTCAGGTCCCTAATCTTTCAACTCCAGTCCAAGCACCAGGATTCTGAACCGCTTCCAGAAAACAATCACTGCAACCTTGCTTTTAGAGATACACAAGGTTTTTTCTTTACTTTTTATACTTCTATTTTGTTATGCTAAGAGGCATATGGATTTTAGATTTTTTTGTCATTTGTGTGAAACAGAATCCACCAGCTTGGAGCAAGGGAAGAGTAGTAGCCATGGTTCAGAACTTGGTTTAGCAGAGAGAGTCGTAACTGATGGGAAGGTTGATGAAAATTCTGAGCTTGAAACTCCCAAGATTGATGTAATGAAGCATTTCTCAAGCAGGAAGAACAAGAGGAAAGATAGGGTCGATTTGGTTCTTGAGAGGGCACAAGTTTGTCTCAAGAAAATCAAACACTTGAAAATATTCTTATTTTCTCCTTCCTGAAATTTGGACTTGCATATCATATCCGTGTGTGACTGAACCCGTGTTAAATGGTAACATTTCATTGTTTGTTACTATGCCATCATGTTTGTTCCTGTAATCTGGTTGATCACATAGCCGTTATGGGTTTTGTCAAGCAATGGTTATATTATAGCTGTTTTAGGCTTTTTGCCAAGAAACAAAGCTGTCAATTTTGTGTGGTCCAGACAGTAAGGTACAATTGTGAATGGGGGGTCAATATCTGTGTTTTATACACTATAAAAAAGAAAGACACTTTTTTTCCTGTTTTTGGCTAGACATCTTGAACTGAAGAATTCAGAAGGGTGAAAATTGTGCCTCTATAAAATATTCAAATAATGACCTTGCATATTGTCTACAGTTGGATTATGGTAACGTTACTTATTTGCATGCCAAAATATATTGCATTATTTTTTAATAGTTAGCAATATTTAATGCACGTTTGTGCAACGTCTTTTCATAGAAGCCAAATTTTTTGTTTACTTGAGTATATGTACTTAAGTATTACTTGAGTTTCTTTTTGGTAGGAACTACTGGAGTTATATTTGAGTATAGTTATAAACTGTTTCAAATTTTGAGTTATGGTTGAAAGGGTAAGAGTAGTTGATGGCATATTAAGATTTAATAATTATTACTCATTGATGGAAGGATCAGCAGTTCTTGGGCATTGAGATATGCTGCATTCTAATTCAATTCTGATTCCAATACACGGTGAGCATAAGGTCCAGACATCAGACAAAGTCAATTACCAGTGTACGAAATTTTCTTTGGCATGATCAAGCTGTAGTATATCCATGAAATTATAAAACATCTAACAATATTAAAAGTACAAATGTCATACTTACAAATAACATTCATCAACAGGAAAAGGAAAAAGGTGTCAAAAGACACGTTCAGAGACGGGCCTTGAGTTACATCTTCCAAACAATTAAAAAATGTAATGAATTGTTCCGATCATAGACATCGTGACCAATTAACAGGTCGACCAGTTAACCGCTTTCTAAGCTTTTTGTTAGAGGAATGATCAAGCTAACCATAGAATTGGTTCTTCATTTTCCTGGTTTAGTGAATTTCAGAACATGGTTTTAATCTTTTCCATATTCTCCTATGCAGAAGGTACAAAACATATGTGTATAATATGTCTAGGTTTAAGTCAGATCTCAGATGTAACTGTAATATGATAATCAAGGGAGTCATAACTAGAATCACATATTCTTGCAGCAGGTGGGGATCCGAAACTAACATGAATGCTACGTTTGATGTGTTGAACATCAATTTTAAAAGCTTAAACGAAAATTAGTTTCCAACTTTCGATTCAATCATTTAAGGCACAAAAAGTTATTTATGTAACTGATATGGGAACAGTACTAGCTGATACATTCCAAAAGTAATGATAATACAAGCAAGCAGAAATACTAGAAGGATCAGGTTTTCTTTGTACTCTGATTCCAAAAGATCCTTTCATTCTTTCATTTAAAATAAGTTAATTACACTAAAATGCAAAGCTGCATGAATACAACTTTCGAATGAATTATATCAACAGAACAAAAAACAACATCATTTAGTCATAACGCCAGCAGGGTTGCTTGCTTTTCCTAAGATGCTTGTTTCTCCAAAAGTTCAAAGGCACTGCAAGAAACATAATAGATATATATTAAAAAAAAATGATTAGACATCTAGATTCAAACTTCCAGCTACAGAGATGAACACAAATAACAATATGCCAATATTGATGTCCTCAACAATTGTTCATTCCAACCAGCTACCACTATCCTAAGGGCCTAAATTCTCTAGACACAATTAAAACCAAAGAAGTTAATGAATTCACCTTTGACCTTCTGTTCAACCTCGAAATGAAAAGATAAATTAATGTTCTGTAATTTCGTAAGCAAGTTCCCATCCTTGTTTAAAATGCCCATCTTGCCTGGGCTAATGCCCAATCATCATTCTCCTTCAATTAGAGCAAAACAAGAAGAAGAAAAAAATATCGGGTAAGACAGCTGCTTATTACAAGACAAAAAAAAATCCATCGAAAATAACCTAATTTCTCATAGCAAGTGGATGAAATGGAATATAGTTCAACAGGGATAAAATAAGACCCAAGAACGCATCAACAGAAATCCTTGAAAGTCTTTGATCTAAATGTTATTTTGTTGAAATTTGGGTTTTTGATAGATCACAATGGAATAAATTAATCAACATAGCCAATACCTGCCTAATGGAATAAGGCTTTGTTGCTTTTGTTTGTTTTTGGCATGCCATAAAAGCTCTGGTTTATACCTTGAAATAAATTGTTTAATGTCATTTTGAAACCAGGTTAAGGTAACTATGTCAAAAATAAGCAAGACTTGCGACACTATGGGAATACAATTATTAGTATATCATCACTAATATAATAATGATTTGACTAAGAGTTCATTTGTTGAGCCATTCAAGCCAAGTGCTGTGTTAGGAGTGCATAAAAAAAACAAGAAATTTATATTCTTTACGGTTTCTATAGCAAAGCTTCTGTGATAAGCAGGGAACCATAGTTTAGCACCTTTCAATGTAATAAAAGTCAGATACAGTTTCAAAGAAGTTTTCAGAACAAGATGAAACCAAGTAACATGATGAAGTTAACTTATGCTCAGAGTTTCATCCATCCATTCATCTCATTAATTAGGATGTCTTCCTATATATCAAACTGATCTAAGCAGAGCATTTAACCAAGTCAGAATCAAAGTTGTAATCCTTGCATTTTTAGGTACTTATATGCGAAAAGCAACACACAAGAAAATTATGCAACCCTAAACATGGAAAAGCAAATAAACAAGGCACCTTAACATGGCTGTAATGCTTTAGTCAGGATGGTAATGAGTCATGTCTTTGCTGGTTTTCCTCTTGTCCAACCTCATTGCAGCTGCTTGTATCCTGCAACTTCGAATTAATAGCTGGCAGGCCCCGACGTCCTAAAACAACAAGATCAAGTAGCCTTCTTCTTGCATCATAGACAGGATTGGGTTCTATCAAACACCCTCGTTCATAAGCTTCCCTCAGGAAAACAGTATGCCTTTTACCCTTCGTAGACAAATAGAAAATCCCAGGGTGGTCCAGGAACAGATCCCTTATATTTAAATCAATCCCTAACCATTTTCTAAACTGGCTGATCTTCTCAACTTCCACCATCTTCTCCACTGTCAAACTCAGGAACTCGTGAACAATTGACACTGCCCGCTTCTCCATAGCCATCATTCCAGCCTTAGACTTCTTCTTCTCACTCACTACCTCGTAAGGCCCCACATATGGCAACCTCTGCCATTCCTTCACCTTAGCCTTGAAATTCTTGCTCAACCTCATCCCGGGAGGATACCCGTGTTTGAAACTGAACTGCATTTCCATCCTATCAACACTGCATTCGTCCTTGCAGCACTCAACAACCCTCCAATCCTCAACAGCTGCCCTTAAACCATTGCTGGAAACACCACCAACCAGCTTCAACAAATGCGTATTCGCTTCCGGCGCATCACACAGCTGAAAAACACCAGAATTAGCTGATATGATTGAATCCTCAAAATCATCGGGCAGCCCAAGCTCCTTCCAGACCTTGAAAACAGCTCTAAGAGGCACCACTTTGGATGCAGACATGGACAGTATCCGAACAAGTCTTTCAACAACAACAGGCAAAGAGGCATTGATGGCCACTGCCTCCTGCCGCGAAACATCAAGAGCAGCATCAGTTAACCTGCAAAAGGGCTTCAATTTGGAAGGGTCATAGTAAATGTGGAAGATGTGAGGAAACTTGCGGAGGAAGGCAGTGGCGCCGCGGTTTAGGTGGAGCTTCTGGGAGAGCTTGGAGAGGAAATCAATGGAGACTGAGGGGTTCTTTGGGTTGGCAAGAATGAGGTCTTGAATGGCAATGACTTTGAAAAGGTTCTTGTAGTTTTCCATGAGTTTCTCAAACGTGGGGTCTCGAAATCTCGATGCTACATACTGAGCAGACGTTGTTTTGGATCGAACACACATGGAAAAATCATTTGGGTGTCCCTGTTTGCCCACAAACTTCACGCCAGTTAGTGTCGACAACCCCTTTTTTATGCAAACTCGGTTTGACATTTCGTCGAACACCTGAGACTCAAATACCAACCGAACCAAACGCGGGGCTCACTCTCACAGGATAAGTATCCGATTTTCCGACCGATTATGGAGAATCGGTGAAGAGATGAATGTTGTGGTGCAAAAGTTTCCAGCTTTGTTATTGGAGAGTCTTGGGTTGCTTAACACTGCAGAATGCAGATAATCTAACTCTATGAGACTAACATAAGTAAACAAAATTATTTTACACTTCATTTCTCATAATTTTTATACCGTTTTGTTTTTCACTCAAATATGATTTAAATTCTTGCAGATGCGACTGTATCTCTTAAAAAAATGTTATTTTTTTATTCTTATATTTTTTAGTATTTTTAATTTTTTTTCTTAAATTAGTTAGTTTAGTGCTCAGTGCTCACATAACTAATGAAATAAATAAATATTAAAATAATTAAAGTAATATATAATATTTATAAATAAGATCATTTATTTTTAATAAAAATTTATATTAGATAAAGTACCACTCTCATATAGATTAGAATCAACTATCAATTTCTTTAAAAATTTTGAGGGAGATTTTAATCTTCTCTTTTATCTAGAGTGTAATTTTAATTGCACAATTTAATTAAGTATTATATTTATTATTTTATATAAATAAAATAATTACATATAATCTGTTTATGTAATTTATTTAAACAATTTTTTTAGAGGATTTTTTAAACTTTTACCAAGCTGCAGTGTATCTACTTATCAAAACTAGAAATCTACATGTTACAAAAAAAAATTGTTTGATTTCGTTAAAGCTTTAATTTGACATGGATCATTCTCTTTACAACATTCAAACTTACACCGTGTCTAATATATATTAATATATATATATATATATATAAAAATTAAATAACTATTAGATAATTAGACTAATAATAACAATCAATTTATTTTCATGAATAAACATTTTTTTATATATACATAAATAATGAAACTAACCTAAAAAAAAGAAATGTAAGAAAGGAGAAGAGTTTGAGAGATGTGGAATGGGGATTAAAGATGACATATTGAGTCCAGCTCAAACAACCCATTAATGAAGTTAGGATGAATATTTGAATTTCAGTCCAAAAAATAGGGATAATTTAGCCCAATGGACTAGGACAAGTCCATCAAATATAGGTTTAAAAACTACTCGAGTTATTTGTCATAATGAATTTTTCTTCTTCTTTAGTTCTTCTAGATATTACGAGTTTCTAATTTAATCATTTTAGAGTGATCATCTAGGTACACTTTCTCATCTATATACATATCTGCCCACCGTGGAAGCCTAGGTTGCTGCACATCATGCCCATATCATCATGTTTTTTCATATGATCACTATATGTAAATGAAAAGATGCGGTTGGGGAGTTTTATCAGAATGTGACGGTTAGTTATTACCCTCCGTGTCCCGAACCGGACCTCACGCTGGGGTTGCAGTCCCATTCGGATATGGGGGCCATCACGCTTCTCATTCAGGATGATGTTGGCGGGCTTCAGGTTCTCAAGGGTGACACGTGGGTCAATGTTCAGCCCTTGCAGGATGCTGTTCTTGTTCTCTTGGCTGATCAAACTGAGGTAAACAAATGCACCCCTTTTCTTTCTACTTTCTCGCAATGAAATTGGGAATTTGGTTGAAAGTTTGATTTTTGCATTCGACTTAAACAAAACTTAGCTACGATTTCTTATATACTGTTGTTGGTGTTGTTTTTCGATCAGAATTGGAGTTTTATCTCAGTAACCGGATAGTGATGTTTGGAAGAAACAGTTGCGTAATTATAGTATTGATTTTGGAATTTGTATGTTTTGAGGTAGTTGTATCGAGTATTGTTAGGCAAAATTGACATCTAATGTAAACCTTCCATGTTTTGAGTACGAAGATGAAATTCTAATTCTGATTTAAAAGAGTAAAGAATTGTTAGTGTGTTTGATTTGGTGGTAGAGAACCATGGTGGATAATTAAATCATGGTGAATTCACCGTAAAAGTAATTATTTTTTGCTTCTAAAAGTCATGGTGAGTTCAACTCACCACGGATTTACACATACACTGTTTAAGTTTTGTCCTTTTTGTACTTTGTGTTGTGCTTTTCATACGAAGAAATATGCTTGCAATAGACCCTACAACACTTTCTTTTTACACTCTTTTATTTGGTGAAATTCACGAGAGTTTCACTGGGTCACATTTCTGATTTGGTGGGTTTTATTCCCAAAGTAGTGAGAGTTACGGGAATTTGAACTAATAGATGAAAGTGTAAGTGTGTAAGAAAGAAAATTTAATGAGTGTGTCAGCATTCTTCTAATATGAAATTAAGTGTTTTAGAGAATATTAGTTGCCTTGCCATTTATTTGAAGTGCTTTGAGAGTTAAAAAACCAGCTGCTTGAAGGGTTTTGGGGAAGGTATTTATTTTAAATTTTAAAATTTAAATTCTTGGGCATGGCCAAACGGATATATGGGAGCAAATGTGTGGCACGAGTATGGTATAGCATAAATTCGGTGCAATTGTCTTAAAAGTAAAACATTATATGTGCATAAGTACATTGCAAAGGAATAATGGCTAGGATGATCTATTTGCGGCCAGTGTTGATTGAATTGATACAGTATAAATTGTTGTACGTGTATTATCACTCAATTATGATTTACTGAATACTATATTATATGTAATATTGCAAGCTGTTCCACTTCAATAGGGGAAATGGGGTATGGTGAAAAATTCTGTTGAAAAGAGATTGTGTTTTTTCTTTATAGAATGATTATTTGGAACTGGTAAAAATGGCAGTGTCCTTTTGATTCATTGAGTTCAGCTAAATTAGCATACAATGTTTCTTACCGAGTTATAAGCCTTTGTTAAAGTCATTTTACTTTGTAAATATGGTATTCAGTATTCTACAATGTGCCCTTTTAACAGCGGATTCTGATGACTTGTGATTTAACTATGTTCTCCTGCTAGATCATTCATTCATTAAGTTAAATAAAAATTGTCTTACTCTGCCCGTGTCAACAGCAACTACAGAACGTGCTTCTTTAATGAGAAATATTCTTTATTTTTAGTAGAAAAATTCTAAAAAACACTCAACCTTGTTGCGCAAACTTGTTTTTATAATCTTCATAGCTGAAAAAGCACGTTCTGTAGTTGCTGTTGACACGGGCAGAGTAAGAACAAGTCGTATCAATCGATCAATTAAAGGATAAACATTTGATTTGCCAACCTCTACTAGTTTTTGACATAATTCACCAAGAGTTGACAAATTATGAAATTTGGGATCCTTTGGCACATCAAACTCATAATGTTGCAATTCATATTCCATATGAATCATTTCTTGGTCAGAAAAATCTGAAGAGTAAAATTTCTTAGCTAGACTACAAATATCACAAGCATTAAATGATTTGAATGCATCTTTAGGATCCAAAGCTACACTCAACATAAGAAGTTCAGTTGATTGCTCGCTGAATCTACTATTCAATTCTTTCAATTGATAATCTATCGCTGCAGTAAATATATCTACACGATAATGATGCTCAACTGTCACAGAATCCTTTTTAAGCCGAGTTCGAATTATGTCAGAGTAAGTAGCACTCATATCAGGAATTGGTACACCTCGGCTATTGCAAAAAGAGTTAACATTTTCTAAAAGAGAATCCCAACCAAAATCCCTTAACTTTTGAATTAGTGACTTTGTGCTAGAAACCAAACACATAGCATTCACAATGTCTTGATTCTTTTGCTGCAAAGCTTGACAAAGCTTGTCTGTGATTCCCATAATTTCTTTCATAACATGTAAAATGAAAACAAATTCAAAAGACATCAATACTCTGAAAGCATAAGTAGCATCACCTCGTTGAGAGCCAGTTCCATTAACCACCAAATCTTCAAGAACTGAAGTAGTTGCATTAAACATGCGTAGAAGGCTACATATTGAATTGAAATGAGAACTCCATCTAGTATCTCCAGGTCTTTGTAGTGTGCCAATTTGATTAGCTCCCCTCCCAGTTTCAATCTCATCATTTGCAACCAAACGTGCAATTTCAGTCTCATAAGCATCATGTAACTCATCATTGCGTTTGCAAGAAGAACACACAACATTAACAATCCTACTCAAGTTTTGAAAAAAAGCATGAACATCACTTGAATCTTTAGATGCAGCAACAAGAGCTAATTGTAACTGATGAGCCAAACAATGTACATAATATGCATAAGGACATTCTTGAAGAATAAGAGCTTGCAAACCATTCCACTCTCCAGAATTGGAATGATCAAATGAGGCGCTACATTTTTTAAAAAAAAAAAAAATTCCAAAGTGATACCACATAGCAGGCCGTACCAGAAGTCCAAAAGTTGAATAAAAAAATAAATTTGGGTTATTCATTTAATTATACATATGAGTTTATATTAAAAATAGGGGGTGCCATATAGTAATATATATGTATATAAAAAAAAATTAAAATTGTTGGAGGGGCCGTGGCACCCGTAGGTCCCCCCTTGGCTCCGTCCTTGGTCATTCCATTCATGTAGGAATATATACGATCTAGAATACTCTCATTTGGGTTTATTCAAAATTGAGAAGGATAGTGGTAGTGGTACTTGCACCACTTTAGGTGGTGCCCGATCATGATGATATCGTGTCCTAAAAATAATGGTGGATTAGTGGTTCGTATTCAAATGTAGGTGTTTTGTTGACAAATTTAGAGTAACTTAGATGGTAGCGCCATTCCCAGAGTTAGTTTTTTTTTTTTTTTTTAGGTGTTTTCCAGAGTTTGTTAAAACACGCTAAAGCCAACAAAATATTGATACTACCCCGTTTTTTTTTCACGTTTAATCGGAAGGAGAAAATAGTAACTTTTTCATAAATTGATAATTAAACATGGAAAGAGATGAAGAATTTGCGTTTCAAAATTGAAACCAAACACACACTATAAATATTAATCACTTCTTAAGAAAACCTCAATAAATTAGGATTAAATGAATTAGTTTTACAACTGAAAAAAGAAATGTTAAATGAATTTGACAATGATAACTTAATAAGTAATTTTATGTTTAAATTATAATAATAATTTTTCCATTTTTTTTTTAGATAAAAAAGAACTCATCTAATAATTCTTTACTTTAAGTCTATTTATCTATCTATCAATTATAAAACTGATCCTAGAAACAAAGACAATCAGCATCGGTAAAAAGCAATTTAAGATAGATTTTGAATAAAATTTATATATTTTAGATAAAATATCATTGTCGGTGTTATAATTCCACAATTTATGTGTTTTTTCTTTTCAATCCTAAGTAAAATTTCAATTTTGACAACCTTAATATATATCTAGAAACCGCTGTGTGTGCTATGTTACAGACTGCATAAAATATTATATATATATATATATATATATATTTCATTGATTGAAGTATTGAACATGTAAAATCGGTAATAACATATGCTAATTTGTGAATAAGAAATAGTAACTGAGTAAACAGAATCAAAGTACAAGAATGTATCTCAAATTGCCAATGGAAAGAAAAACCCACATCTGATCGATCACCCTCTCCACCGCTTATGAAAAATCTCAGTCATATACAAACCATATATAAAAAGATGAAACAAAATAGTAATATAATATATAACAGAACAATGGCACATATATTATACTAATGAACAATACCATGTACTAATGAATTCATAGCCTAAGCCTAAACTTACAGCTACTGCTGGAAATTCTAATATCTTCACTAGCACCAAGATTATCCACCACAAGTCTGCACCTAACCCTGAACTTAACCTTGAACAACTTCAACTTCCCAAGCTTAACCCTCACAGGCTGATTAACCCTAAGATTGAGTGGAACATTGTTGGTCTCTTGCACCTGCTGCTGAATCCTACTCAACAAGCCACTAGCATCCTGTGCTTGGCCACTGAGACTCAAATCAAGCACTGTGGTGTTCCTGTGACCCTGGTAGAACTTTGGCAAGGACCCTTCACACAGTTGTGTGTCCATGTACCAAGCACTTATGTGGCTTCCACCCTCATAGTATATCCCAATCTTCTTGTTAGGGTTCCTTGCAGTGATTCTCACATTGAAGCTGGCATAGAGGCTGTTGTTGCTGTCAGACTCATTGAACTGGCTTATTCTGAGATGGTCCACCGAGTATTTTGGAAGCTTAGGCCTGAACACAAGGTATAGGATCCCTACAGTGATGGCTATAGCAACTATCAGAATCAACAACGTGGTGAGTGTCCAACACAGGAACCTGCAGCAACAGCTTCTTCTTTTCTTTGGTGGCTTTGAATGCATCACAGGAAATGTTCGCCGAGGAAGATCAGTAGTACCCTTGTCAGATTTTGCAGTGTTTTCAGGCACCAATGGTCTGTGTGGTGCCTCCACATCATGAACCGGATGAATTCTTTGATGATCTGACATATTTTTTTTGCAGTCAAATTATCAAAAGAAAGATATCATATACTATACGTGTGATCTTGATCTTGTATGTGGTAGACACTAGAGACTAGACACTAGACAAAGCTGTGTTGATGATATATTTCTTTGTTTCCTTTCTTTTTTGGCTTCTCTAGGTGTATTTAATGCGTGTAGTTTGATGAATAGGGTGAGAAGATGAACGCGTATTTGGAGCAGGTAATGGCCTCTGAGAAGGGTTGAAGCTTCTGATTAATATTGTTTAACTTGAAGGGTTAAAAATTGGAAGGGTCACCATCGAGACTTGGTAACCGCATGTGCCAATTATTCAACTTGTGTCTTTATAATAGTGATGCAATATTATGCCGTCGAAGTGGTCAAACTAACTTTATTATTGTTTGTAAGTAATTTTAGATAGGAATCAATATTCTTGTAATACTGTTTACACTACGTCAGTTCTTTGCATATAATTGGCCTATTTCCTGCTTATGTAAGACAACGATACATTAGCGACCTTATGCAAAAAGTCACTATGAACCAATATTTATATACAAAAAAATGCTATATCTTGTAAAAAAATGCTATATGAGAAAGTAAAATATAATAAATCATATGGTATGAATGATGCTTATTTTACGTGTATTAATGATAGAAGATTCATCTTTTAATTTTAAAATGGCACGTATTATTAAGAGTTTAACGAACATATATTGTTATTAATTAATAAAATATCATAGTTGATATATATAACTTTTTAAAATAAGTATCGTAAAAAATTAATTTATTGGTTAAATTGTATTTTTTATTTTTTTCCAATTTGTAATTTTTGTATCTTTATTTTAAAATAGAAACATTTGATTTCTTTATTTTTTTTAAATGTGAAATTTTAATTTTAATATTAATTTGATATGGGTTAATCATTAAATTTTGATATTATTTGATTATTATTATTTATGTGTGTGATATTTAATGTGATATTTAATGACATGATATATGTATATATATAATATTAAAGAGTAATTAATATTTATTTTGTTAGTAAATTTTATTTACATGTCTTTTTTAATTTTTTATCATTAAATGTCATGCTATTAAATATTATCACTTGAATATGAATAAATGTTAAGATTTAACTATTTGTAGATGTCAATTTGATAGAAAATTAAAATTTTATATTTTTAAAATTAGAAGATGTAAATATCTTTATTTTAAAATAGAAAAATCAAAATTATAAATTGAAAAAAAATAAAAGAAGTAAACGTACAATTGAATATAATTTATTATATAAGATAATTTATCACAAATTAAGTGTATAATTTTTTCTTCTTTTTCTCATTATTTAATAATTTTTCCATTCTATAAAATGATTCAAAATATTGTCAATCCCTTACTTGTTATATATTATACTATATCAAGGTAAATGAACATTAATAAATTATTTTTTATTCACCTAATCATTATAATATTTTTGTTATAAAAATCTTTTAAAAACAATATTATAAAATTTAGCAATCAAATGTAAATAGAACTCAAATACATCCTTTCAGTGGCAATGGCAATTGCAATAACTTGCTATTTTCTACATATTTTTGAAAACTTATTAATTTTTATTTGTATCTGAATTTATAGTATTACTTTTCTATTTGTAGAGGGCGTTTAAAGGGATTTACATTATCCGAAGGAAATTCCCAAACTTATAAACCATTGAAAAGGAGTAGCCGTGCACTCAAAACTGTTCCGGAGTTTCAAATCGAACATCACAAATGTTTGACAATTTCATCCCTCATTTGAATAAACTCTTCTTAATGCAATATTTCAACTTATACGGTATAGCCAAGTCTATTAAATTTTTCATGTATTCATACTTGGTTTTAATTTTTTTCTTTTTATTCCCTATTTTATCTATGATACAAAACCAAAAAATGAGGTGGTGGGTGTAAATGTCAAAACATTTGAATTGCCTTATACGAAAAAAAAAAAACACACATAAAGGGAATACCAAACACTACTTAGTTTATTTTCAACGCATTGCATAGATTCTTTCTCATGAATAATAGAGAACAAAACTCTTGTATCCCATTATTATTCACATGACAATTAATTTCTGTTCTTCCTTAATATAATCAACTTACATCACATATGTTGCTTGAGTGAAAAGCATCCACGTATTTTATCCAAATAAAGGTTTTAAAAGGTTTAAATTCAATGATGCTTTTTCAGCCCCGCGGTGTATAACGCGTTCCAAAGATAAAGTCGTAGATGGCTCTTGAGTCTTCATTGTTAGAGTTTCATAAAAATAATATAATAAAAAAAAGGAAAGCATATAAATTAACCAACAAGTGTACTAATTTAATTTTAAATATTAATGACTCACCTAACCCTGTGGGTCCAGTGTGTGTCTTTTTTTATATGTCAATGCTAAATTGCTACGTAACTAAAATCTTATCATCATAAAGACAAAACATGTTGGATTAAGCAGTCTTTGGAAATCTTCTGCTCTTACTTTTTCGTTTGTTTCTTTGCTGAACACTTCTTCGTTTTCTTATTAAAAAAATAAACCTTAAATCCACTTTTGATCCTTATAATTATACATAAATATGCAATTTTGATCCCCATGTTTTTTTTTTAAATTATACTTCACCTATTAACATATCATTTAAAATTAAATAATTAGTATATTGCCAAACAGTTAGTTAGACATATAGAATAATAATAGTATTAAAATTTTAAAAAACATTGTTTAAATAGATTATACTTTTTAATTGGAATTAAAGAAAAACATAATATATATATAGTAAAACACAATGTTATTTTCTGCATATATAAAAATCAGCATGACTAAGTCATCCATTGGTACATGAGTATTTTGTGTTTAATTTTGAATAACATGATAATGAGTGAACACATCGCTTAATTTCAAAAATTAAAGAAAACAAATTTATAATAAAAAAATTTGAACCAAAAATGCTCAATTGCGTAACTTTAAGAACCTAAATTGAATTTAAACCTAAAAAAATTAGTTAATGCACTTAAAATAAAGTTATAACAAAGGAGTCTAATAATTAGTTAGTTAAATTGGGTGTTAAGCGTTGTGAACTCTATATGATATATACTGGATTCAATTTTCATAAAAAAAATTAAAAATTAAAAACTTTTTTTTATCACTAACGATAAATAGTGGTGCGTGATTATTCTAACTTAACAATAATATAAACCAAAAAAATCGCCTTTTTTTTTTGTAAGTGCTGGTGTATTTCGCTAAATCCCTTTCCTTAGCTAAGCCCAATGGATCTGAGTCAGCCACAACTAAATTTGAGCCCAAAACCACAACCACTTCGGCTCGCCTCTCATGAATTTGAAACTTTTTTTTTTTTTTTTTT